GATTTTTTTTTATTGTTTTGTGTTTTTTATGAAAATAATAAATTAATTAAGAAAACAATAACTAAAAGAAAATAGAAATAATGAAAAGAAAGAATGAAAAAAAATGGCAAACCTAGGGGGTCTGCCCCTAATTGTGAGGGTTTTCTTTTAGCAATCTGGGCCCAATAACTTTGGCCACTTTGACTTTTTCCATTAGCGTGCATCAACGTTGACTAGAGTGCATCCTGTTCTTTAGATCTGAACCCTTGGATGAATGAGATTGACCAAGTGGACGGCTTGATGGAAGGACGTATGATGGTCTTCAGCATAAGAAACTGCATAGAAACATTGATTGAAAAATAACATGGAAATAGTGAGGACCTGGGGCTCGAACCCAGGTCCTATGGTTTACCAATGAGCGTGCTTGCCAGTGGAGCTACTTTGTTTCTTTGTAAATTAAATAACCAACAATCAATATAAAATAAACAAACACGATAGTGGATTTTTAGCGCGCGATTTTTAAACCAGCCAATTACTGATGGCCACGCATCCTTCTTCTTCCTTGGCTTATTTTTCCTGAAAATACAACAAAACATAGGCAACGGTTTTTAAACGTTCTTTTAGGCACTATATTAGAAAATAGCGAATAGCCCCTGGGGCTTCATAAATTAGGCGCGACATATGTTTATTGATCGTCCAATCATGCTTGATTCAGTCATGGTACTATGGTGGTCTAATTTTACCGCTTTTCAAAACGCCCAATTTGGACCTCCAAGAACCCTAATCTGCATCAATGGTAGAATCGCATATAGTATACAAAAACGCAATTAAAGTAGATTGTTAGCTTCAGAACACATCATATAGTATGAATACACAAACAAAATGCCATGAAAATGCCTTAAAATTAAAACACGAGTATGCCTTTTTATGAGAAAAATTCGATTTCTGTACAATGATTTAGGGCGTTAAGGGTAGTGTTCTTGATCCAGGCACGTTGCTTGAGGTCCCATGGATGCAATGGAATGGATTTCTTGGCTTCAATCCACCTGCAAATGTGTTTTCAGATTTGAGTTTTCAAGCAAAATTTTTAAGTTTGTGTAAGGATTTCTGGCGCAGCTTTTTGGTTAGGAAGCATTAGGTCCTGATCAGGCTTATGTATGGAGTGAATTAGGTCAAAGAAAACAATCAAAATCCTTTGCATTCATGGTTTGTGAGATTTGATTTTTCAAGATCTTTTTCAATATTTTTTCATGCTATTTTGTACAAATCATGGCCAATTCTCTTCAATTCTTTCCAAATCTAGCTATGCACGAAATATTGAGTATATAATATGCATAAAAAGATTTAAAACCTAGGTTTAGTATTTTTCATGTATTTATTTTAATTTAAATGAATTATTAATAATAAAAATCCAAATAAATAAATAAAAAATGATAAAAACTTCCCTTTGGGCCAAATGGTCGTGCACATGCCTTGGATGATGAATTATGGAAGAAAAAGAGGTCCATTAGCAATTTTAGGTCATTTGAATCAATGTTGACTTTTCAAAATATCCAAAAGTTTCCCAACTTCCACAAGGCATAACTTGCTCAATTTTTAAGCTTTGCTCATGTTCTTGGACATTTTGGAAAGGTATTTGAGTCCTCTAACCAATGCCTTTGGTCCCATGTCATTTTGATTTACCAATCTCAAGTTATGGCCTTTGACTTAAAGTCCCTTTTTGTTGACTTTTGAAAATGACCTATAATGTTGAAATTGATAACTTTTTGTGAGAGCATTTCTTGGACTTGGAGTGTGAAGAGGAGTTGTAAGAAATGTCTTTCTATTCAAAATGAGCTTTGGATGGAATTTTTCTGATAATCCATGTGAAAGTTATGCCCTGGTCAATTTACAGTTGACTTTTTCAACTGTCCAAATAAGGAAACTTTTGCATCTTGATGATTTTTGAGCCAAGCTTTGAGAATCATGATCAAGCATTGATCAAATGATGTTTGTGGATTCAAAATGAGATGTTGATCAAAAATTTGGACTTTTGACTGTCAAATAACCATTTTACCCCTACAGTTGACTGTAATGCAATTAGGGTTTTGACTGTGCAATTTTGTGCTGAAAGTCTTGAAACTTTGTACGAGGATGCTTGACCATATTTATAGGCATGTGGGACTTGATTGGACCCTTGGAAACTTCATTTTCTTGATCAGAACCAAAACCCTAATTTTGATTGTTTAGGAGGCCCTTGCACTGTGCAACCCTTGGGGAATTTTGAAGCTTGACTTGGCAATTTCTTGAAGAATATGGGAGGGCAAATTTTGGGGTACAACACATACAAAACCAAACATCTTCAGATGGCTAACACTTTGCTTGTCTCCAGTCCATTTTTCTAAAGGAACAATTTCCTTCAGCTTCTTTGTTGGACACCTATTCAGAATATATGCTGATGTGGCAACAACTTCTCCCCATAACATGTGAGGTAACTTCTTCTCTTTCAACATACTTTTGGTCATATCAAGCAAAGTTCTGTTTCTTCTTTCAGCAAGACCGTTGTTCTGAGGAGTATATGGAGCAGTAACCTCATGTTTTATTCCATTCTCCTTACAGAACTTCTGGAACTCTATAGAGTTATACTCACCTCTACCATATGTTCTCAGAATCTTCAGCTTCTGACCACTCTTTTTCTCAGCCTTCACCTTGAACTTCTGGAACTCAGTAAACACTTCATGCTTGAACTTGATGAGTGTTACCCATGTCATTCTTGTGAACTCATCCACAAAAGACACAAAATATTTGTTTCCTCCAAGTGAAGGTACTGGAAATGGTCCACACACATCAGAATGTACTACTCCCAGAGCATGCTTTGCTCTGGGGGCTACTTCTGATGCAAATGGAAATCTGGGTTGCTTGCCTTTCATGCATATCTCACATGACTTTTGAGGCTTCACAATCTTCTAAATGCCATGTACAAGCTTCTTAGAACTTAGATGCCCTAAGCTTCTATAGTTCAAGTGCCCCAACCTCTTGTGCCACAGCTTATTGTCAGCTTCAGCGCCTTCTGCACTAAGACACTCCGCTTCAGATGTTTCTACATTCACCTTGAATGTTATGTTGCTTCCCTTCTCAGACTTCATAATCAACTTCTGATTAGAATCATACAACGTCAAGAGGTTTTCCTTCATAACCACTGAAAAACCTTTTTCAATAAGCTGACCCACACTCATCAGATTTTTTTTAATTCCAGGAACATACCAAACATCTTTGATCAGAATGTTTTTTTCCATTCTTCACTCTGACTCTGACATTTTCCATACCTTCTGCATTAAGGTACTTATCATCAGCACATCTGATCTTTGTTCTCCTTCTGGAGTCAAAGTCTATCAGCCATTGTTTGTTCCCAGTCAAGTGGTTTGAACAACCAGTGTCCATATACCACCAATCTTCTGAACAGTTTCCATCAGAATCAGAAGCCATCAGTAGCACATGTTCATCATCAGAATCTCCTCTGGCTATATTTGCTTCTTCTGATTTCCTTCCTCTGTTTCTACAGTCTCTGGCAAAATGGCCAAACTGTTTACAACAGTAACATTGAACCTTCTTCTTGTCATACCTTTCCTTTCCCTTCTGATATTTCTTTTCATCAGAAGTTGAGGTTTCTGACTTCTGGAATTTATCACCATGTCTATTCTGCTTCTGGTCCTTCTTGACAAAAGAAGCTTTCAGAGCTTGCTCCATTTCCCTCTCAGAAGTTCTTTCAGTCAGACGCAACTCTTGCGCTTCTAGACTGCTTTGCAACTCTTCTATTCTCATGGTTTCCAGATTTTTAGAATGTTCAATAGAAACAACAATGTAATCAAACTGAGGAGTAAGTGACCTCAGAATCTTTTCTATGATTACCTGTTCATAAAGTGTTTCTCCACAAGCCTTCATCTCATTAGTGATCAGAATCATTCTGGAGATGTACTCAGAAACTTTCTCACTGTTCTTCATGCTGAGATTTTCGTATTGTTTTCGCAAGGACTGAAGCTTTACCTTCTTTACTGAAACGTCACCACCATAACATCTGGTCAGTATATCCCATGCCCATTTCGATGTCGTCGAATCAACAATCTTCTCAAACACATTTTCATCCACACACTGATGGATAAAGAACAAAGCTTTCTGATCCCTCTTTCTCGTAGCTCTTTCTTCTGATTTTTGTTCTTCAGTAGCATCTGCTGCAACTGGAACATAACCTTCAGAAACAAGGTCCAAAACATCCTGAGCACCAAACAACACACGCATTTGTATCTTCCATCTGTTCCAGTTTTTGCCATCAAAAACTGGAAATTTAGTGTTCAAACTACTGCCTCCATTCATCTTAAACCTTGCACAAAAACTCAGATATTAGATTTCTCACTCAGTGTTTCCCAAACCCACCGAATCAGTGTGATTCTGTTTCAGATTTTTGTTCAAGATTCAAAAATCAAACACACAACTCACTATCACTCGTGTTTCCCAGAATTTCAGAACAAACCAAGAGCTCTAGATACCAATTTGTTAGTGTAAGGTGATGAAATTGAGGAAGAAGAGAGAAGAGGAATAAATGTTAAAAACTGTCACTAATGATTGAAGGAAATTGATTGTATTAAATGTAAACCTAGTACAGCTATTTATATACAAAATAGTAAAGATAAGAATGTCACATAGGGTCTAATGAGAATATCTAACAAATGACAAATACTAAATTACCCTCTAATATGATGGACTTCTGATACAGTGATGTGATCCTCTAACGCTATAGAATACAGAGTGAACCTATAAGATTAATAGTTGAATGTCCAAGTCAGGAATTGAGTCCAAAAATAACTTGAGTGAAATATAAAAAGTTTATATAAATACTTTAAGTCTTACAAGGATAAAAGTATTTATATCGTGAGTAGTTATTGCGCCTTCCTAAAGTGATAAACGAGCTTCCTTAAAGTCCGCCAAAAACAACACTTGAAAAACAAAGAGAAAGAGCACACCCCTTCTTTGACGGGGAACTTGCAATGGCTAAAAGAGCATTATCAACCTCTTACTCTAACAAAAAACACGATGTTTTTCTCAGTTTCAGAGGCGAGGACACTCGAATCGGTTTCACAAGCCATCTTTATGATGCTTTGAATCACAAATCAATCAAAACATACATAGATTACCTCCTAAAGAGAGGAGAAGATGTTTGGCCAACACTTTCTGAAGCCATTGAGGATTCACATGTCTCCATAGTTGTGTTCTCAGAAAACTACGCTTCTTCTAAATGGTGTTTGGAAGAGCTTGTTAAAATACTTGAATGCAGAAAAGTTCGCGGACAAGTTGTTATACCTGTTTTCTATAAAACAGATCCGTCTCATATTAGAAATCAGACTGGGAGTTATGAGAAAGCATTCGCTAAACATGAGAGAGATCTTGGAATTAATGAAAGTGATGATTCTAAACGTAAAGTGCTTAGTTGGAAAGCTGCTCTCACTGAAGCAGCCAATATTTCTGGATGGGACTCCAAAACTCACAAGTAAGATTATTTCTCTATCAATTGTTTTTTATGAATAGGTCATCTTAAAAACTTTTTGGGTTTTTATTATTATAAGAAAAAAAATGTTAGGTAGTTAATAATCAAACACGAAAATTAAAAAAGTGTAACTGAGACGTGGATGTTGTGTACGATTAGAGAGGATAAGATTAGAAATGAAAATATTTAGAGAAAAAATGTTGGGGTAACGCCTATAATGGAAAATATGGTGGAAATTAGACTTAGATGGTTTCAAGGTCGGTCCTATGCAAGAGCAATAAGCTCTGCAACAACATCAGACAGACAGTAATTATAGTGTAAATTAAAATTTCAAAACTTCTAATCTCACTGTTGTTCTGTTATGAAAAATATTAACATTAATAGTTTCTCAAATGTATATTTCAAACACGTCTCAATTGGTATTCAAATATCTCTCTATCGGTATTCAGTATTCACGTTGCAACAACCTTAATATGCGTCACATAGTGATAAAATTTATATTTCCTTATGTTTGATTTGTGATAGGGATGAATCTAACCTCATTGAGAATGTTGTCAATGATGTATTGCAAAAGCTACAACTGAGGTACCCTAATGAACTAGAAGGTATTGTTGGGATTGAAAAATTTTGTGGAGTGGTAGAAACATTAATGACAAGTATTCAGATGCTTGGAATTTGGGGTATGGGTGGAATGGGAAAGACAACCATTGCTAAAGTATTGTTTGCCAAATTCTTTGCCCAATATGACCATGTATGCTTTGCTAATGCAAAAGAATATTCACTCAGCAAGCTTCTCTCTGAGCTACTCAAGGAAGAAATTTCACCATCTATTGTTGTAGGAACTACATTCCATATGAGGAGGCTGAGAAGTAAAAAGGTTTTCATTATACTTGATAATGTGGACAGTTTAGATCAGTTTGAATATTTATACAGGGTTTTCATTATAACAACGAGAGACAGACAATTGCTCAATGAAAGAGTTCATAAGATATATGAGGTCAAGCAATGGGAAGATAAAGAATCACTAGAGCTTTTTAGCTTGGAAGCCTTCAAACAAAGCCATCCCCGAAAGGGTTACGAGGATCTTTCGCAAAGGGCAGTTGCTTATGCAGGAGGCATTCCACTTGCTCTCAAAGTTTTGGGTTCAAATCTCCGATCAAAAGGTACTGATTTTTGGGAAAGTACTTTCAGAAAACTCAACAAGTTTCCAAAACAAGAAATTCAAAAAGTTTTAAAAGTGAGCTATGATGGATTAGATCGACTAGAGAAGAAGATATTTCTAGACATTGCATTTTTTTTCAAAGGAGAAAAGAAAGATCATGTCATAAGGATACTGAATGCTTGTGGGTTGGAGGCAAGTAGTGGAATAGAAGTCCTAGAAGACAAGGCTTTGATAACTATTTCAAATGGAAATAGAATACAAATGCATGACTTGCTAAAAAAAATGGGTTCAGACATAATGCGTAAAGAATGTGGCATAAACCCTGCAACTCATACACGATTGAGCGGGAGTGAAGCGCTTGAAGTAATTAAAGAAAACAAGGTAAGAGAGCAAGAAACAAACTCTTTTTTCAAAATATTTTTTCAAATAGAGACTGTAACTAATAGGACGCGGTTTACTTTTGTCTTGTCAGGGGACTAGTTCAATTGAAGGCATAACACTGGATTTGTCTCAAAATAATGAGTTGCCTTTATGTTCCGACACATTCACCAAGATGAAAGCCTTAAGAATTCTTAAACTCTATATCCCATTGGGTCAGAGTTGTAGTAATGCACACCTCAACCTTCCCATGGTACTTGAGCCATTTTCTAGTGAACTGAGGTACTTTGAGTGGATTGGATACCCTTTTGAGACACTTCCACAACCTTTTTGCGCCAAGTTGCTTGTTGAGATTCGTATGCCGCACAGTAATGTTAAACAACTATGGCAGGGGATGCAGGTGAAAATATATTCGTAATAAGTAATTTTTTTGTTGTTTAGAGTTTTGCTTTTTGATGTATTGTTTTGAATTGTTAACAGGACCTTGATAAACTAGAGGTGATTGATCTAGGTGAATGCAGACATTTTGTTCAGCTTCCGGATTTGTCTAAGGCATCAAAACTTAAATGGGTTAATCTCTCCGGTTGTGTGAGTCTGGTGGATCTTCATTCATCTGTTCTTTTGGCTGAAACACTTACTACTCTGATACTTGACGGTTGTACAAAGCTTAGAAGTGTTAAAGGCCGGAAACATTTAAAGTTTTTGGAAAAGATCAGTATCATTGGCTGCACAAGTCTCGAGGAATTTGCCGTCTCCTCGGATTTAATTGAAAACTTGGATTTAAGCAGTACAGGAATTCAAACACTTGACCTATCTATTGGGCTTCCTCACAATCTTAAGTGGCTTAATCTTGAGGGTTCAAGACTTGAGTATCTTCCAAAGGAGTTACCTAGCCTAACATCTATTAGGGAGCTTAGGATTTCTGGCAGTGGACTAAAAGTTAAGAAACAGCAGCTACATGTCTTGTTTGATGGCCTACGATCTCTACAAATACTACATTTGAAGGATTGTAATAACTTGTTTGAACTCCCTGACAACATCAGTGTCCTATCAAAATTACAGGAACTAATTCTAAATGGAAGCAACGTGAAAAGGTTGCCGGAAAGCATCAGGAATCTTCAAGGGCTAGAAATTCTGTCATTGGAGGAATGCAGGGAGATTCGGTACCTTCCAGAGCTCCCCTCTCTCATCAAATTGTTAAATGCCAGTAACTGCACGTCCCTGGTTTCAGTTTCAGATTTAAAAACTATTGCATCAAAGATGATGGGAAATGCCAAATACATTTCATTCAGGGACAGCCTGAATTTGGATGGGCGTTCACTCAAACATATAATGGAAAGTCTCAATTTAACAATGATGAGCGCTGCATTTCAAAATGTGTCTGTTAGAAGACTTCGTGTGGATGTTCACAGCTACAACTATACCAGTGTTGATGCTTGTCTACCAGGAACAAGGGTCCCAAGGCCGTTCAAATATCAAACTTCCACCGAGTCCTCCATTACCATTGAACTTCCTAACCAATGGAACTTACTGGGACTTCTTTACTCAGTGGTTCTTTCTCCAGCAGGTGGAATGAAGAAGGGTGGGACTATAATAAAATGTCGATGCGATTTGGGAGAAAAAGGTACAAAGGTTTCAAGGTTTAATACTTATGTCACGGAACTGAACTCGGATCATGTTTATGTATGGTACGATCCATTCCATTGTGACAGCATTCTCAAATTTTATGAACCAAAGCTTTGTTTTGAGTTTCGTGTTACTAATGATATGGAGGAAGTTGATGGTTCAATCTGTATTAAAGAGTGTGGAGTACGGCCTGTATGTGCTGATGAACTGCAGAGTGTTTTACAGCAATTGGATTTGGATTCAGAAAAGAGAAAAGAGTTAAAGAAGGCTGTGCGATTAGAAAAGAGTCCCACAAGCATTATACAAGGTTTGCAACTTCTTACTCCCTTTCTCTAGTCTCATATATGCTATGCTTATTCCTACTACTTTATTAAATCAAGTCCCTTTTTCGTCTCATTTTCATAAAAACTAACTTAAAACAGTTTAATATAACAATATTTGTACAGCATACCTAATCGCCAGTTCTTATTATTTTTCAACTTCATTGTCTTTAATCACAGAATCAGATTCAGAGATGGTTGAACCAGAGACAAATTCTAATTGGGAAGAGAGCAGTGCTGGAAAAGGCCGACAACATAATACCTCAAAGCCTTCAAAAGGTTGGAGTCACTTCTATTCTATTGGCAAACTTCGGGTTTCATCTTTTCTGAAAGTTTCAAAATTACAAACCAAGTTCAGTGCTGCAAGTGGTAGCAAGAAGAATGCCAAAAACTCTACAGAAGTCGTGAGCACTTATTTTTCCTTGACAGAATTATCTTCCATCTTAATTGACAAAAGCAATATTTTGATTTTCAAAAACATCATTTTTGTCTCTGCAGGTCAAAAGCAAAGGAAATGAAGGAAGACAATCTGAAGCTGAAGCTAAATTTCATCTACCGGTAACATCATCTGTTGAAGACAATGCTTCTGATAATAAACCAGGTGAAAACAACTATGATTGGCAAGATAATTTTGATGAGACCAAGAATTCAGAAGAAAACTCAAATATAGCAGGACAAATCACTGTTCCTGACACCAACGATCTAATAAGTGAACCAGGACAAAGAAAAGAAAATGCACCAATAATGAATCTTAGCGAACCTGTAGGTGGTCAAGAAGATGGATCAGATGATAACCCTTTTTCTGAACTTGAGAGCATCCTATTGGGAAGTCCAGAGTCCTCAACAAAAGCAACATGTTCCACAAATGACGATGCTGTAAGAGAAGCTTTGCATAACCTTGAATGCCTATTGGAAAATTCACTTGAGTCCATTGTCAGTGATGTTGAGCTACAACGACAACTACTAATGTCTTTGGAATACATAACACAAGCATCTCATGAAAATGTTTCTCCTAATGTTGTGATGCTTGTACAAAAAATGGCATCCTCTTTTGAGAACCTTTTCAAGGGCTTTGGCAGGACAAGAAAAGTGGTTGAGGATCACATTAATGCTTTGAAACAAAAAGAAAAGCTCATGCAGCGAGTGAGAGATGCTAAGAAACAAAAGGAATCAAAACAGAAAGAAAAGAGTCAGTTGGAAAATGAAGCCAAGCGTCTCAAGGAAGAGGTTGAAAAGGTGGATGAAAAAATTAGAATTCTTGTTGAGCAAAATAAAAGTATTGAATTGGAAATAACCAAGTTGAAGGAGAACATGGAAAGATGTGAAGGTGAAAAGAAGAAAGTGAAAAATGAGGCTAAGAATATGATAACTGAAAGCAAAGAGCTTATGTTGAGTATTAAAAATTCTAAATCTACATATGTTGCTGCCTTGGCAAAGCAACAGAAGTTGAAAGACAAATGGGAAGGTTTCAGAATAGATTTTGCAAACAACTATGGAAGTAGCACTACTTGAGAAGTATTGATATGTTGGGTTCAACTTGAAAATATTAGACATATAAAAGAGTTGAGTCATATACCTAATGTCTTAAGGTTTTGGATAAAAATTTAGTGTACTTTTTCGTGATTTTAGAGTATGACCAACTGTTTTGAATAAAAAATTAACTTGAAAAGTAGTATGTATTCAATGATTAACGAGGATGCATGGTATGTGTTAGGGACCAAGAGAAGGAAGATGGGCCAGATATTTAAGTGACCAATCATATTGGGCCTAAGAATGCTAAGACGTGGCAGGTTTATTCTAGAAGGAAAAGGGGATCTCACACCACGTGATAGATGTGAGGTGGAAGAGAGAGAATAGTGGTCCTAGCAATATCGTTAGACCGTGTCCATAAATGATGGGGGAAGGGAATGGGAATCTCACCTTAGAGAATCATAGAGTAATCATTGGATGGGGGGCTGTTAAGCACTCCATAGGAGCATAGCTCTGTGGCAGTTAGATCACTGAATCTTCTGTAAATTCCCTTTGCAATCATATAATTAAACAGTCCTCACTTTCTGTCAGTCTTTATTCTTTGCCTTAATTCTACTTTATTCTGTTAGAACCTAACATTGGTCCGACCTACCGGATTACGACGACGGAGCCGGTGAATGCCACCTAAGAAAGTGACGGTGCCAGCGTTCACAAAGATGGAAGCTAGGGTCGAAGCTTTAGAGAGTGAGATCTCGGAGGTACGATCAACTCTCGTTGAGGTGCAGAATACGGCGACAACAAACCACGCCAACTTGATAGCACTACTGGAAAAATGTTTGGGCAAGTCGTTGACAGTTGATGAAGAAAGCGCGAGCGTCTTTAATAAAGGCTCGCCGATGGTGACGACAAAGGGTGATCCAAAGAGTACCGTGGTTAACAACCTTCATGGGGATGCATTAACGGAGTTTCGTCAGTCCGTGAAGAAGGTCGAACTTCCGGCTTTCTCAAGCGACGATCCGGCGGGATGGACATCTAGGGCGGAGATCTACTTTTGTGTTCAAGGCACAAGTGACACCGTGAAAGTGAGTTTGGCGCAATTGAGTATGGATGGGCCAACCATCCATTTCTTCAACTCGTTGTTGGAAGAACACCCAGATCTGACATGGGAGGAGTTCAAGGTGGAGCTACTAGAGAGATACCGTGGTTTAGGGGAAGGAGATGTTTATGAAGAACTTTCAGAGATTCGTCAAAAGGGCACCGTGGAAGACTATATACAAGAATTTGAATGTTTGACGGCTCAGATTCCAAGGTTGCCTGACAAACAGTACCTTGGGTATTTTTTACATGGGTTGAAGGACGAAATCAGAAGTAGGGTTCGGAGCTTTGTGGCTATGTGACCACTTACAAGAAGTAAACTATTTCACGTCACCAGAGCAGTGGAAAGGGAGATGAGTAGTGGGTCGGGTTGGAACCGAAGTCCGAAAATAGGTGGGTCAAACCGAGTTAACTTGGGGAGATAAGGTGGTACGGACTGGGTTTTTGTAAAAGGGAGCCAGAACAGTGGACATCATAATGGAGTTGGGCCTAGAGGTGTTAGTGGCCCAATTCGTGAACCCAAACAGGACACTGCAGATAGAAGGAAGGGGGGTGCACATGATAAGGGATTCACCCATTTGTCTTATCAAGAGCTCATGAACCGGAAGAAAAAGGGATTGTGTTACAAGTGTGGAGGCCCATATCATCCTCTCCATCAATGCCCAGAGAAGCAGCTCTGTGTCATGATTGTAGATGAAGAGGAAGGAGGGGAGGACGAAGGGAATTTGCTGGTTGTGGAGGTGGACGAATCGGAGGAGGAGAAGGACGGCGAAATAAGTGTTATGATACTGTTTGAACTAAAAGAGTCACAACATGACAAGGTTCAAACACTCAAACTCATAGCAACAATTAATGGCGTATCGGTGGTGGTGTTAGTCGACAGCGGGGCTACGCATAATTTCATTGCGACGTCCACGGTGTAGAAGTTAGGATGGTAAGTAGAGACCACTCCAGATTTGAGAATCAAGTTAGGTGATGGGTTCCAAACCATTACCAGAGGAAAATGTAAGCAAGTTTTATTCAAAACTGGGGAGGTTACTTGCGAAATCGAGGCGTATTTGTTTGATTTAGATGGAGTAGACGTGGTTGTTGGTATGGCATGGTTGAAATCTTTGGGAGATATGATAGTTAATTGGAAGAAGCAAACAATGGAGTTTTGGCATGATGGGAAGTGGGTAATGTTGAGGGGAATAGAAGGTACGCCTGCATCAATCCCGACATTGCAAAGCATCTTAAGGAAGGCTGGAAAAGGGTATTGCATGAATGGATGGTCCCTAGATGCAACAGTTAGCAACACTCTAAGGCAAGCTGAAACCTTGGTAGTGCAATATGATATGCAGGGAGTATTGAAGTCATTTGATGATGTGTTCCAAGAACCTAAGGGTCTTCCTCCACGTTGCTCCCGAGACCATGCGATCAATTTAATGTCAGGACAAGGCGCAGTTAATGTCAGACCGTACAGGTACCCACACCACCAGAAAAATGAAATAGAGAAACAGATTAAAGAGATGTTAGAAATGGGAATTGTGCAACACAGCTGCAGCGCTTTTTCGAGTCCCGTTATACTGGTGAAGAAGAAGGACGGGACATGGAGAATGTGTGTTGATTACCGTGCTCTTGACAAGGTCACCGTGCCTGACAAGTTTCCGATACCGGTGATAGATGAGTTACTCGATGAGTTACATGGAGCTCAATATTTCACCAAGCTGGATTTGAAGTTCGGGTATCATCAAGTGAGGGTGAAACAGGAGGATATCCATAAGACGGCTTTCCGTACTCATGACGACCATTATGAATTCCTTGTGATGTCGTTTGGATTGATGAATGCTCCGTCCACATTCCAATCCTTGATGAACGAGGTGTTCAGGCCCTTATTGAGGAAGTTTGTGTTAGTATTTTTTGACGACATACTCATTTACAGTAAATCGTGGCAGGCGCATATCCTAGAAGTAACCGAAGTGTTGCAGATTTTGAGGAGACACAAACTGGGTGCGAATAGAAAAAAGTGTCGATTTGGCCAGAAAACTGTTGAGTATCTCGGTCATTTGATCACGGGAAATGGTGTAGAAGTAGATCCCACGAAGGTGCAAAGTGTCATTCAATGGCCTATACCTAAGAATGTTAAAGGGGTGAGGGGATTTATAGGCCTTACGGGCTACTATCGCAAGCTCATTAAAGATTATGGGAAGATTGCCAAACCATTAACGGAATTGACAAAGAAGGAGGGGTTCAAATGGGGGCCTCAAGCTCAAAAGGCTTTTGAAGTATTAAAAGAGAAGTTGACAACAGCCCCAATACTCGCATTGCCTGATTTTAAAAAAGAGTTCACAGTAGAATGTGATGCCTCCGAAGTGGGTTTAGATGCAATCTTAATGCAAGAGAGAAAGCCCGTTGCTTTCTTTAGCAAGGCTTTAGGAGGAAAGAATTTGGCTAAATCTGCATATGAAAGGGAGCTAATGGCAGTAGCTTTAGCGGTGCAACATTGGCGTCCTTATTTGTTGGGCAGACATTTCACTGTGACAATAGATCAAAAGATTCTGAAACAGTTATGGCAGCAGAGGATCACGACTCCGGATCAGCAGAATTAGGCCGCTAAATTGCTCGGTTATCAGTTTGATATAGTATATAAATCGGGAGTGGAAAATAGAGGAGTTGATGCTCTTTCAAGGTTATCCGAAGGTGAATTATCGTTTATGGTTTCGTATCCAATATGGGAGGAAGGCAAAGTGATACAGGAAGAAATCCACCAGGATAAAGTTTTGCTAAAAATCATAGAGGACTTGGAGGAGAAACCAGATTCAAGGCCAGGATTTAAGTACAAACAGGAAGTGCTATTCTATGAGGGGCGTTTAGTGTTGTCCGCACAATCTTCGTTAATTCCTAAGATGTTGGGTGAATTTCATGTTACTCCGGAAGGTGGGCATTCTGGGTTTTATCGTACCTACAGACGTCTAGCTGCTAATGTATATTGGATAGGAATGAAAGCAAAGGTGCAAGCTTATGTGAAGGCTTGCGATGCGTGTCAACGATAAAAGTACTTAGCTGCCGCACCTGGGGATTTATTACAACCTCTGCACATTCCGTCAGCAGTATGGGAAGAGGTCTCAATGGATTTTATAACAGGATTGCCGAAATCTCGTGGGTTTGAAGCGGTTTTTGTGGTAGTTGATAGACTGTCAAAATATTGTCACTTCATCCCCCTCAAGAGACCTTATACAGCAAGAACAGTAGTTGAAGTTTTTGCAAGAGAAGTTATACGACTTCATGGTTTACCTACAACAATTGTTAGTGACCATGATCCTTTGTTCATTAGTAATTTTTGGACTGAACTTTTCAGGCTGCAGGGTACTACTTTGAAGATGAGTTCAGCTTATCACCCGGAAACAGATGGCCAAACGGAAGTTGTCAATCGATGTTTGGAAACTTATTTGAGATTTTTTATTGCGGACCAACCAAAATCTTGGCTATCTTGGATTCCGTGGGCAGAATTCTGGTTTAACACAACATTTCATGCGTCTACAGGGAGCACACCTTTTGAGTTAGTCTATGGAAGGAAACCTCCAATCATTACAAGACTCTTGCAAGGTGAAACAAGGGTGGCTGCAGTTTAAAAAGAGTTGGAAGAACGAGATGAAGCACTCAAGCAACTTAGAGCTCATCTCCAAAGAGCTCAAGACCACATGATGCATTTTGCAGATAAGAAGAGGACAGAGTCCAGTTTTACTGTTGGAGAATGGGTGTTTTTGAAGCTTCGCCCACACCGGCAGCAATCCGTAGTCTCTAGGATTAATGCGAAATTGGCAGCTCGATATTATGGTCCGTTTCAGATTGTGGACAGAATTGGAGTGGTGGCATATAAGCTTAAATTACCAGATGGATCACGGATACATCCAGTTTTTCACGTCTCGTTGTTAAAAAGGGCAATTGGAGACTATACAGTAGAGAGT